AACAAGAACAATGGGTCAGAACTGACTCAATAGTACTTAACAACAACAAAATAATATTTATATCTTTGAAGATGAGGTCTCTTTTCTTCCTTATATCAGCACAATTTAATGTCCTAGAATTCTCATTCTTCAAAATGCAGAAGCAAATTTTAAATGTTTCCTTGCTTTATGCTCTAGTCTCATCTTTCTAAGACATTCCTCCAAATTCAATGACTCCCTCATCTCTACAGCCTTCCATGATCTTTTCATACACTGCACATCCTTCTCCCCTCCCTTCTTTATTCTTCCTGGAGTCCTGGTGGGGCACTGCGGGTTAACGTACTGGACTGCAAAAGGTTGGTCTGAACTACAAAGTCAGCAGCACTTTACAACAACAACGTCCTTTAGTCTAACTGCACTTTTCTTCTCTAAATTCAATTTATTTTCTTGTTGTTACTAACTGCACTCTTAAAAATCACATTTAAAAATCAGTCAATGAAAGGAATTTGCACTGACCGCCTAAGACAGACAGCGTCCCTTAAACAAATAATAAATAAGGGGAAATCTGATGCAGACCATGCAGACCCAGTCAGGAGTTCAAGTCCCTGTGGGCCCAACATTGCTGACCGTCCAAACCATAGGCTCTGAGGATCAGACTTTAGCCACCTAGCAGACATAGCAAAATGTCCCTTATCTGATTATTCAGTTATGCTGGTTAGTAATTCCATACATGAGCCCTGGATACCCACAGATAAATGTAAAAACCTTCCCTTCCCTAAAAGCCAAGACTGTAAATTCCAAAGAGGGAAAGTTTTTCCCAAAAAAAAAAAAAAGCTAAAGAGGATAGAGAGAAACTCTGTTAACTGATGGTATGAAAAAAAAATCAGTCAATGAATGTAAAAATTGTTCCTGACTCTACAGGTTATTTTTGAAGGTAAATCAATGAAAATACAAAGAATTTACAAGTTACTATTTCAAGATTATTTTTAGAGTTAGATGCTCCTGATTTGCATACTGGTTCACTGTCCCGACATGTATAAGAAAGCTTCAGTTTATGGAAAAAGTCCATTCTCCTTTAATTCCATTTTCCATCAACTTTTTGATATCCCTTCGTATATTTCCAACAACATATTACTTTTAAAACAATTGAATATTACAGAGCCTTGGTGGTACTGTAGGTCAGGCACTGGACAGTTAACACCAAGGTCAGTGGCTCAAACCCACTAGCTGCTTCCACTGTCTGCTCTGGTAAAGATTTACAAACTCAGAAACCCTATATAAATAAGGTTGCTATGAGTAGGAATAGACCTGATAGCAGTGAATTTGGTATGGTACTAGATATTACAATGGCAAAACTAAAAGCAAAAATAAACAGTCAATACAGCATTTTAAGCCCCCCAAAAATCTTTTTTTAAAAGACACAAATTAAATCAAAACCTACAAATTTAAGAAGAGCAGCAAACCACTAACATAAAAAAAAAAAAAATCATTCCAGATTTGTTAAGATTTCCCCACAGGCTTTTACAAGAAAATATGCTATGTACAACAAGTCAACAATACAAAACTGTCAATTGTATCCAATTAGTGCTTCTACTGAACAAATTCTGAACAAACTTCTACGTTTACTAAGTCAAAATTCTGATAAGTTACCTAATTTTCAAGCTTTAAACTATCATCTGTTTTGGAACTTTGTAAGCACAATCTATAGTCAAAAACTATGGATATAAGTACCAAAGACCTTGTATTATATTCTCAAACTTGTAACCATCCTTAAAGGAAAAAGACATGTCATTCATGCCGAATAAAAAGTATTTCCAGAGTTTTTAGACATTACAGCTAAACATAATATATTTTTTAAATTTACACATGTAAAGTCATGTTTTTACTATAAGAGTAAGCCATGCAAATTGCCACCTGCCTTATACACCCAAAGTGGAAACAGTATGCTGATTTAATGAAGCATACTGCTGTCATTTACTTTATTATTGGCACATGTTAGTGTAGAATAGGTTGTTTAACAAACCAACCAACCAACCTGCCCTGACATAAAACAATAAACAATTAGAGTCCATTGTCAGAGTCAATTCTGAATCATAGTGACGCGATATGACAGACTAGAATTTCCCCAAAGGCTTTCCAAATCTGTAATTTGTATGAAAGCAGATTGCTCCACCTTTCTCCTGAAGAGCAGCTGGTGAGTTAGGACCACCAACCTTTTGATTAGCAGTCGAGCCCTTCACCACTGCACCACTAGGGTTCCTATAGAAACAACTCTACTCACCGATATACATTCCAAGTGGCAACAGGCAAGTTGAGAAGAAAGATGAACCAATGCAATGAAATGAGCATTAATACAGTGACGACTGTATGGCCAATCAATTCTGGAATTACCCACTGCAAGGGAAGAAGACAGTATTTACATCTCTGTTGTGTCCTTCCTGACTCTACAGGTTATTTGAAGGTAAATCGATGAAAATACAAAGAATTTACAAGTTACTATTTCAAGATTATTTTTAGAGTCAGATGTTCCTGATTTGCATACTGCTTACCCATGCAAATACATCAGGACACTTAAATTACAATGTATCATAAATAAAGGTTTAGACTCACTAAGCAGGTTTTCAATGATAACTAGCAAAAAAAAGTATATATTTTCTATTCAATAAAAAGCCTTTAACTCTAACTGGATTGATATGCATATATGTATATCAACCCTTTCAAGTCAGAATATTATCTTTACATATTTTTTTAATCCTTAAGGCGGATATCATGTCACACTCAGAAAAGGAGAAAAAAAAAAAGGAAGTGGGGGGGCCTTTAAAAGCTTACAGTAACAGCTAAAAAGTGACTAAATATGGCAATGAGCCAAGATGCCAGAATCCCAGCCTACTGGCTTTGCAGTACCTATACCCATACCTACGATCCTTTTGTTTATGCTGTGATTTTCTGTTTACAGACATCAACACCTATTGTGGCTGGGTTCTCCTACCAAGTACAGACTTTTCTTTTAATGGATGTTAATAGATAACATAAGTCTGGTATAGTACTGCAGGACAATGCACTAGACCACAAGGTCAGTCTGAACTGCAAGGTCGATGGTTCAAATCCACGAGCTGCTCCTCAGAAACCCTATATAGGGTCACTATGAATCAGAGCTGGCTCAAAGGCACTTAACAACAATAGCTAACATATACATATATATATTTTTTTTTTTTTTTTTTTAAACTTCTTATTGTGAACTGAATGAAGGTTTACAGACAAGATCATCAGCTTTACATTCAACAAATCATACACTTTGTTTCATCTCCATGATTATGATTGTGATCCCTTCCATGGAACAAGTTATCTGCTGCTTCCTTCCTATGGTTCCTATTTCCATTCCACTCACCAACCCATCACTTCTCAACTTTGTCCTTAGGTAAATGTTTCCTTTTTGACCTTGAATGACTGACTGTTTCATGGTAAGCATACCTTACTATATTGTTGTCCCCCTATATACCTGTCTACTGCTTGGCTGAAAATTGGGTCATGAAGGTGAGTTCCTTTCTAGACCCAAAGGTAAAGGGCCGTAGTCTCAGGTTTCTCTAATCGTTTTCTAACCAGTAAGCCCGGTCTTTTGGTTTTGTTTCTTTAATAATTTTGAGTTTGGTTCTACATTTTCTGCTGCTCTATTTGGGACCTTCTAACATAATCCCCTTTAGAGCAGTTAGTAGTGCTGGTTGGGCACCATCTAGCTCTTCTGGTCTCAGAGTCATGGAGACTGATATTCACATGTTTCATTAACCCACTGGACTGATTCCAAACTGCTTCAATTCTCATATTGTTCTTTCTTCTGCACAAGAAGAGACCAATATCTTCATCTTATATGGTCACTCATGAGCTTTCAGGATCCCAGATACTACTGACCAAACTAGGATGTAGAACACTGTCTTTGTGGACTCTGTTATGCCAATTAACCACAGTGTCCCCCCCAAGACTGGCTAATAGTTATTGAACCAGAAACAGGTACTCCCCACTTTTAAAAATGAGGGAAACAAAATCTTAAGAGATTAAGTAACTTGCCCATGGTCACACAGTTACCTAGTGGCAGGACAAACACAATCAGACTGATCCCAGAGCTCTAGCATTTAGATATACAGGTACACCTTGGAAATAGTGTAGGTCTGGTTTCAGACCACCCCAATAAAGTAAATATCATAATAAAGCAAACCATATGAATTTGTTGGTTCCCAATGCATATATATCTTATGTTTACACTGTAATTTATTAAATGTGCAATAGCATTATGAAAAAGTTTGAAATACTGTGAGAATGACCAAAATGCGACACAGAGACACAAATCAAGCATGTTATTAGAAAACTGATGCCGACAGACTTGTTCAACAATGCAGTTACCACAAACCTTTGCTTTGTAAAAATACAATCATATCTGCAGAGTACAATAAAGTGAAGTACAATAAATGAGTTATTCCTATACTTTTTTTGGTAAACAATTAAGTAAGAGATTTTCCAGGCCTTATTTGCTATCAGATTTTCCAATATGCAATTAGCATTTTTAAAAAAATGTAACCAATAAAGTATAATGCTTATAAGTGTGGCCTGAAAACTCTAACAAACCTGAATGGTTTTCATACTATGTCTTTATTAACTGTATAATCTTGGGAAGAGCTAACTATCCTCTCAAAGCTATAATTTTCTAATCTATAATGTGGAGATAGTATCACGTAACTCAGGAAGTTGTACAACTTTAGATGAAAGGACACAATTAAGCCACATGCACTACAAGCATTCAATGTCAGCCAATGTTACTGCTTACTCTGCAAAAATGAGCCCTGGTATTGCAGTGGGTTAAGCATTGGGCTGCTAACAAAAAGGTCAGTAGTTTAGAACCCACTAATCACTTGAAGGGATAAAGATGAGGCAATCTGCTTCAAGAGGTGTACAGCCTCAGGAACCCTAGGGAGCAGTTCTACAGGGCCACTATGAGTCCAAATGGACTCGAGAGCCGTGGTTAATGGTGTGGTGTGACTTCTCTGCATGCTCTCATATCCCTAGTTTTAAAGACTTTCATTTAAAGACTTCCTGTTTTACACAGACACACAACTTAAACAAAAGTTTCAGGAAGCAATAGTTAACCTTACTAGACTTGACCAACAGGCTGAGAACCACAAGGTCATCAGTTCAAAACTACCAGCTGCTCCACGGGAGAAAGATGAGGCTTTCTGCTCCCGTAAAGATTTACAGCCTCGGAAACTCTGTACTGGGTCACTATGAGTTGGAACCAACTCCACGGCACATTAACAATAACCAAGTCATGTGCTTTCAGTCTCTTCTCTCAAACACTATACTTCTAGCTCCAAAATAGAAGCCTGGAGGACTCTTTTCTGGAGCATCTAATGGTCCAGAGAAAATACCTACCTACCAGAAAAACTTGCCATTTCAGATACCCCAACAAAAGTCAGTGTTTCATTCTGCTGTGCATAAGGTCACTATGGGTCGGTACCGACTTGATGGCACCTAACAACAACAACAACAAACAAAAGTCTAGGTTGGACACCAATTACCCAACAGTGATGTCTCCGGTCATGCCAAAGGCCCAGACCACCTATGCATTTCAAAGAAGCATTTCAGTGCCTCACTTTTAAGTAAATGGACAATCATGTGTCCGACATTTGAGGAAAGCCTCCATCCCACATGAAAGAAAAGGGGATGGGAGAGGGAGGAACCTGTAAGAAAGAGAGATTATGTAGGAAGCAGAAGAAAAACTCAAAACCCACCATAGCCAGTATTCTCAGAAAGGTAAGATATGAGAATCAAGAGAACAAAAGCAGTGAAGAATTTAAGCTATAAATATAAATGTGATTATTAGAAAATCCAGAAGATAAAACTGAAAAAGAATATTAAAACAATCAAGATAATAAAATAAAATCAAAGGAATGAAAATAAAGAAGAATTGGCAGATCAAACCAAGTAGATTAACAATACAATTAACGAGAGTCTAGACAGGAAAGAAAACAGAACAAAGAAACACATGAAAATGTCCCAGAGTGAAAGAATCCATCAGATGTCCGAAACAAAAAACAAAAAAGGTCTAAATAAAGGTACACAAAGATACACCACTGCAAAATTCTAGGGACAAAGAAAAGATTCTGAATCTTCCAGAGATGAGACAAGATACATACATAACAATATATCACATTAAAAGTATAAGGAATCATCATCAGGCTTCCCACCTTGAATAACACTGAAAATCAGAAGACAACTGAACAAAGCATTTAAAATTCCGAAAGAAAAAAATATTTTCCGATCTAAAATTCTGTAAACAACCAATCAAAAGTTTTTTTTAAGAAATGCAGGGTCTCAAAATTAAAATTCCCAAGAATCCTATATCTCAAGAAGTTAATCCATTAAAATAAGGGAGTAGGCCAAAAATAAAAGAAAAACATGAGATCCAAGAATCTTGATGATCAGAACAGGAGTTAAATATAAAAGCAGTGACAGAGGACCACTTTGGTGTGCCGCTTTGGGGCCTGGATTCAGGTGGGCTTGGCTCTGTGCCTACAAAACCCAGAAAGCCACCAGACCAGCATTTAACCCTGCCCTCAGCTTTCCTGTGGTCTAACACACACTGAAAACAGCTCCGACAAGGGCCCTCATGAACTACATCCAGATCGAATGCCCAGAACATATATAACACCAAGGCCAGTAGGAACTCCATCTAGGCCCAGGAACATCCCTTTCACAACCACCTCATGAGCTCTTTGAGTTGCAGGAACCCACCAGAATTTTTCCCCGTTATGTCCAACAACCACATTGTTAGTTTTAACAAATATGACAACCCCACAATGCCTCAGAGACAACAGACAATTTTAGCTAACACAAGAAAACAAGAGAGAATGCCTCAAACAAATGACCAAAATGCAGAGCCAAAAAACTGAAAAAGAATGATAATTAGTAACCTTAAAAGGATCTCGAGGAAACCAAGGTGAATATAATAAAAACTTTAGAAGGATTCACTAAAGCACTACAAAAGCAAACAGACAAAATAATGCAAATTTTGAAATAATACAAAACTTTAAAACTAGAAATCCAGAAGATTAATACCAAGATTTCAGAAATGGACAATATATTGTAAGGGCAAAGGAGAAGATTCGAAGCAATGGAAGCACAAATTAGTGAGCTTGAAGATAAATGTCTCAATACTAGTATGCTAGAAGAACAATCAGAAAAAAAGAACGAAAATATCTGGAGAGCCCTGTGCTCTCTGCTCCTCCCAGTTTGACAGGCAGCCGCAGCTTCTCTTGCAGTACCAGCCGCATGCCTGAGACAAGATGGTGAAGATCGGAGTCAACGGATTTGGCTGTATTGGGCACCTGGTCACCAGGGCTGCTGTTAACTCTGGCAAAGTAGAGGTTGTTGCCATCAACGACCCCTTCATTGACCTCAACTACATGGTATATATGTTCCAGTATGATTCCACCCATGGCAAGTTCAATGGCACTGTTAAGGCTGAGAACGGGAAACTTATCATCAATGGGAAGCCCATCTCTATCTTCCAGGAGCGAGATCCCGCCAACATCAAGTGGGGTGATGCTGGTGCTGAATATGTTGTAGAGTCCACTGGTGTCTTCACAACCTTGGAAAAGGCTGGGGCTCACTTGAAGGGTGGTGCCAAACGGGTAATCATCTCTGCCCCTTCTGCTGATGCCCCCATGTTTGTGATGGGCGCAAACCATGAGAAGTATGACAACTCGCTCAAGATTGTCAGCAATGCCTCCTGCACCACCAACTGTTTGGCCCCCCTGGCCAAGGTCATCCATGACAATTTTGGTATCGTGGAAGGACTCATGATCACAGTCCATGTCATCACTGCCACCCAGAAGACTGTGGATGGCCCCTCTGGGAAACTGTGGCGTGATGGCCGTGGGGCTGCCCAGAACATTATCTCTGCATCTACTGGTGCTGACAAGGCTGTGGGCAAGGGCACCCCTGAACTGAATGGGAAACTCACTGGCATGGCCTTCCGTGTCCCCACTCCTAATGTGTCTGTTGTGAACCTGACCTGCCGCCTGGAGAAAGCTGCCAAATATGATGACATCAAGAAGGTGGTGAAGCAGGCATCACATGGACCCCTAAAAGGCATCCTGGGTTACACTGAAGACCAGGTTGTCTCCTGTGACTTTAACAGTGACACCCACTCTTCCACCTTTGATGCTGGGGCTGGCATTGCCCTCAACCACTTTATCAAGCTTATTTCCTGGTATGACAATGAATTCGGCTATAGCAACAGGGTGGTGGATCTTATGGTCCACATGGTCTCCAAAGAATAAGAGCCCCCTGGACCACCAGCCCCAGCAACAGCACTAGAGGAAGAGAGAGGCCCTCAGCTGCTGGGAGTCCTTACACCAAATGTAATCCCCCTACACACTGAGAAACCCCCATCCTCAGTTTTCATCCAGACCCCCTGGAGAAGAGGAGGGGCTTTAGAGAGCCCAGTCTTGTCATGTACCATAAATAAAGTACACTATCCAGCCAAAAAAAAAATCTGGAGAAAGCCTAAGAGTTAAGTGGGACACACTATGAAGAGGAACAACTTATGAGTGATGGAGATTCCAGAATAGGAAAAGACAATGAAAAACAGAAAATTGTCAAAGAGTTGCTGGAAAAAAACTTTCCTAACATCATGTAAGATGAGAAGATAAGAATACAAGAAGCTGAACAAACTCCAACCAAGATAAATCCCAAAAGAACATCACGAAGACATATCATAATCAACCTGTCCAAAATCAAAAACAAGGAAAGAATCCTGAGAGAGGCTCGTGAAAAATGAAAAGTGACCTACAGAGGAGAATCAGGATGACTAAGCTCTGATTTCTCAGCAGAAACCATGCAGGCAAGAAGGCAATGGGATGACATATACAAAACTCTGTAAGAAAAAGAGTGCCAACTAAGAATCATATACCCAGGAAAGCTGCCATTCAATACAACAGAGAAATTATGAAATCTCCCGATAAACAGAAATTTAAGGAATTTATAATGACCAGACCAAGTTTACAGTAAATGCTAAGGATGTTCTTTGGACTGAGAACCAACAGCAGGTAAACTAAGGTTACCATACATGACAACACCACCCAGAACTTAATCCAAATATAGAAGTATTTCAAGTAAAAAAAACCTACAAGACTGAAAATAGGGACCCAGAGATATCAGTATAAAATTAAGTCAACTAACAAGCAAAAAAGGGGAGAGTGTAGATATAGAACTTCCAAAAGGCAAGGAAGTCAAGTAGATTTCAAGATAAAACAGACTGTTTTATCAGGGACAAAATCAATACATTACTAGGTAAGCTCAAAGAAAAAATAATAGATTTGCACATCAAAATTTTTAAAAGAGGAAAATCAGTAAGATTTAGTAAGCATTAACACCACAGAAATGTAAATAAAAAGAAAGCCTACAAACAAAATTAATTCAGTATAGAAAATTATGTGGAACAAAGAATCCAGAGGCATCACAAAACACACACACACACACACAGAAAACTGACAGCAAGCAATTCACTGCTGCTGTTGTTAAGTGCCATCCAGTTGGTTCCGACTCATAGCAACCACGTATAGGGTTTCCGAGGAGTGACTGATGACTCTCAACTTCCGACCTTGCAGTTCAAACCAACCTTGCAGTCCAGTGCTTACCCTACAGCACTACTGAATGTAAATATATTAAACATACCAGTAAAGAGGCAGAGAAAGCAAAATGGGTAAAAAAAAAAAAAAAACAGGATCCTTCAATATACAGTTTACAAAAGACACAATCAAAAGATGGAGACACCCCAAATGCCTATCAGCAAAAGAATGATTAGACAAGCTTGGCACATTCATACAACAGAATACTACAAAATGAAGAATAATGATAAATCCTATGAAACACCTCACAACATGGTTGAACCTAGAGGATATTATGCTGAGTGAGATTAGTCAATCACAAAAGGAAAAATATTGCACGAGACCAATGTTGTAAAAAGTTAAAAAAAAAAAATTTCTTGATTAAAAAAACCCAATAGTTATGGTGGGGGAGGGGGAATTATTCACAGGCTAGAGGGTAGACAAATGTTAACATGGGTGACAGAGGTTAGTAGAGAAAAGATGAAGGTAGACACAGAGAAGAATGCAGTAGTTAAAGTGAATAAAGGTAAATGCTGTTAACTGTTAGTACATGGAGGGGACTGCAACTTTGTAATGAAGCAATGTATATTACACGTTAATGTAATATGATATGTTAATGTAAAACTGATGTGTTGTTCTGCAAACTGTCACTCAGTTCACAATTAAAAACTGCAGAAAAAAAACGCGGGGAAAGACAAAGCTCTCAAAGAAGAGAAAGAGAAATTTCAAGACTATAAAGCTCAGCAATACAACATGCATACTACTGTAATACTACCTCACACTGATTAAAAACAATGAATATAAATTTAGCCAAAAGGGGAAATTTAAACACAGAAAACACTAGGGAAAGAGGTACTTATAACTAGGATTTAAAGGCTCAAGCAGGGACTGGCTATCACCACAAGTTTTTTAATACTTTTGGCTTTAGCTGTGAGCAAGGACAACTTTCATAAAAATAAGAATGAAAATTAAAAAATAAATACTTAACTTCAAATCCAAGGGGCAACTTTCTCAATAGAAGAATCTAAGTAACCTTTCTTAATTATTTAGATTTTTGTTTTTATAAAAGAAAACCCAAAATGTATCTAAAATATTGAATAAACAAAAAATTAAAAGTAAAAAAGATGAATGAATTGATTTTTTAAAAGTCTATTATTTTCCTAAGGATAAGAAGAAATATGGTTTACTAGAAATTTTAAATTTCCAAATGTAACTTCATTTCTTTCATGGGCCCAAGAAACATAAGTAGACTAGAAATGTGAAAAGCCACATGGGAATCAAGTAAAAAAATTGCTTCACAGCACTGATTGTTACATGAACTTTCATCTACAAAGCTTTTCTATCTGCTCATCTCATAAAGTGAATCATGACCAACCGGTCTCGGTGTATCTAGACTATCTCTGAAGTTCACAGTTTTCTTGCCAATATAAAGTTCTAACTATACTAAAGATAAAATTGACTTAAATCAGCCAATTAATTCAATTCCTCAGCAAGCTACACAGAGGTCTTTCATTCAACAAGACAGACTGAGCTTTTTTCCCATGAGTGTGCCGTAGGGGGTTTGGACACAGACGACAAAGCAGTTAGCCTCATAAAGAACCTTTGCCTAGCCTGAGTAATGATGTATACGAGACCAGGAAGAGGCAGAGCAAAAAAACAATTTTCAAATCATGAATCTAGTATAGAAAGAAATCTAGTAATGATTTCACAACGTTGCAATGAATGAGACAACAAGCACACTATAATCAAATAAGTATGTTAAACAGCTATAATAATCTTTAATACAGAAAATGGAGAGCTAACTTCAATAGCAAAAAAGGAGCAAAGAAATATCTTACCTTGTTTAATTTTGAGCAACATGATCTAGCATTAATGTAATCGCATTCTAAATCAGACAATGTAATTATCTGAGGATCAAGATAAGGAATTACTCGTTTTATAACAAGTAACTTTTAAATAAGTTTCAGAAAGCAACTGGGGATAATCCTCTGTTTATTTAAGAGTTAGTTCACTTTCTCATTTGTGTTCTTCTTAACAAATGATTTTCACAAAACAATTCTTCTATTATGTTCAATTTCAATCTGACCTATACCAATCTGCCCCAGACACGGAATTTAGACTCAATTCATTCTGAGTTCCTCAAATGTGTACCAATGGCTATAAGAAATAGAAAAAAAAAAAATTCTATAAAAAATAACTTAAATGCTAAAAGCCTGAATTAGTAGGAAAAGCATTTGTTTATCATATATCCATAAAAAGTCTTTGAAGCCTTAGGATGTAAATAAAGAAAACATAATACAAAACTGTAAACACTGCATAGTCACAGGTTGGTAGTGGCAATGTCTCAAAAGTCATATTACGGATGATTTTTTTTTTTTCCTTAACACTTTTTTTGTTTTTCAAACTTTCCAAAGTAAAGATATTAAACTAGAATAAGCCCCAGATTAATGTTTAGTATAAAATATAAACCTACAAATTATAATTTAAAGGGGTGGATGGATAAAATGAAAACTAGAAGTTTTCATTGAAAGATACAAAGTCTGGTATTTACTTTAAAATGCACCCCTTACCACCACTACCCTCAGAGCTGAGGGAAATATAAAAATAATGGCAATATGTTGAAAACCAATGAGGCGAGGGATGGAAACATAGGGTTTACTGTATTTATTCTCTCTACTTTTATTTATATTTGAAAATGTCCATTAAAAAAGTAAAAGTACTTGCTAAATCATATGCAGCCATATTGATATCCCCTTTTCACTTCAATACATCTAAAATTAATCTACCACTTTCCCCACAAAATTGCTTCTCTTCCAATGTGTTGTATTTTTGTCAATGTCCTTTTAAGCTCAAAAAATGCCCTGAGAGATTCAAATAGGGAAATTTGTCTTTACTTTCTGTGTCGTATCACAGTCAGGCATTACACAGTCCTATCAACCATTTTTTCTAACATCACTCACCCTAATCCCTGCTTTCACTTGCCCAAGGTTAGGAAGCAAATCCACATGACCCTATGCTCTAGACAATCTTATTTTCCAATCTTTCCTGTTTCAACCCGTGCTGCAGATTCACCTTCCTGTTGAAGAGTATAATGCTTAGTAGAGAGTCAGCCAAAAAGAAGACGATCTTCATGGAGATGGATTCAAAGTATACTGATATAGTAGCTACCACATGGACTCAAAAGTGGGAAAGATTGTGAGGATGGTGCAGGACCAAAGCAGTATTTCCTACTCTTGTACACAGATCTGAAACAACTCAACAGCACCTAACAACAATGTACCTTTTTTTAATGTCAAAAAATTCCAATGCCTCCCTACTGCCTAAAGAGGATAAAAGTGAAAGCCCTCCACTTAACATTCAAGTTTACAATGATCTGATATAAATGTACCTTTGATTCTGTCTTTGCAATCTGACCATCTAATTCAACAAAAATTAACTGTGTGCTATTCATTCAATTACCATGCGCTATTCCACAAAATTGACTATGGTCTATTCATTAACCTACCTGTATCTGCACCTTTGCTCTTGTATAGCCTCCCCTTTCCTCCTCTGTAAATTTTGTCCATGGTTCAAAGTCCAGGAAAACTCTGATACCTCACTTGAAGTCCATCCTGACCATTTTCCACCTCTTACTTCTAATACTGGACTCCTGGTGTGACGATGCAAAGATAAGCACTGGACTACTAACCCCAAGGTTGGCAGTTCAAACCCACCAGTTACTGCCCTATATAGATAGGGTCACTATGAGTTGGAGCCGATGGATGCTATGGCACTTAACAATGACAACAAATTTCTAATATTAAACTAGTGTAACTATCCTAAAATACAGTAGTAATGCAATGTGATGTATTTCATCAAAACACAACCTGAATGGATCTTGTGTACTCTCACATCAATTATTCCAACTAGCATTATTCTATATAAATTGGTGTAAACCAACGTTATTTCAAATTATTAAGCCTAGTTTTGTTTGTTTGGAGGGGAAGGGGGAGAAAAATCCAGTTTCATTTCGGAGTATGTTCTCCAGTTTTTACAGTACAAGAGTGAAACAACAAATGCCATCAAAACTTAGGCAAGGGATGCTGTTTTATCGTGCGATTCTACAAACCTAATAAAACTCAGGATTCTCATTAAAAATCATTATTTGAAGTAGAAACTGCCACTGAATATTTACTGAATATCTGCTATGGGGCGGGTGCAGTGCTAACAGAAAGGCTACAGGTTCGAACCCACCAGTTGATTCATGGAAGACTGATGTGGCAGTCTGTTACCCCAAAGATTTACAGCCTTGGAAACCCTAAGAGGCAGTGTCTACTCTGTCCTACAGGGTAGCTAAGAGTCAGAATCGACTTGATGACAACGGGTTTGGTTTGTGCTCTCATTATAAGCACACGGCTAAGAGGTAAATACTTCCTCCCATTTTCAAGGTAAGAAAACTGAGGTTCAAAGAGGTGAAGTAACGCTTATTGCAAATAACTAGTTGAGCAGGTTATTTCCCAACTTCTGTCCCTTGCTACTACAATTAAGTTCACAATAAAGTAAAAAAAAAAAAACACGCTGAAAAATTACTCCCAACAACTACCCTAAAACCAGCATGCTCTGGCAAACATAAAAGCATTTAATTCGGTCAGAAATTTAATCATGTCAAAAGTTGAGAAATGACTGGGAACGAAAACACGTGGACGTGGATACCGACTTAATTTCAAATCTGGAACTCCAGAGACAACCAAATAATCACTAGCAGACGATTTTTTTTTAAATGAATCCTTCTCAAAACTCACTACAAAACTGTACCGTCAAGGAAGCACTTCACCCCTTTTTGAAACTAGTCGACTGACTCCTAGATGTGAAAGGACCCTCACAAATTCCAACATCTGGGAGAACAAAGGCGGCGAGGGTGTTGCCCAGACTAAGAGTGACCGTCGCCCGGTCGTGGGGAGGCGTGCGTTCCCGGGACCCCCGGCATCCGACCAAGGGACCGACGTGGGTCCTCTACACAAAACCGCGCTCCTTCTCCCCCATGACACCATATTGAGGGTCAGAAGCTGACCCTGGCCAAGGGCAGCGCTGCGCCGGGGTGTCGTGGGGCCTAACAGGGGGAAGCCGCCTGCTAGGACCCCCGGTGGAGAGGCGACCAGAGCAAGGGCAGGGTGGGGCGAGGCCGGGCCAAGTAGGGCAGCTCCGGCGCTCCCGCCTCCAGGGCTCGCCACGCCTGCCCCGGCGGCCCGCGCCCCAGCCTCGGTACAGTCTGAGTCCAGGGGACCCGCGCCCACCGCTGGGAGCCTTCCAAGCACCCGCGCACCTGCCCCGGGCCACCCTCAGCTCGGTCCCTCGGGCGATGGCCCACAAGCCGGCCTACGATCACTTCCGCCCGCCTCAGGCAAGGATACAAAGTAGACAGAGAGGAAGATGAGCGCACAACAATCGAGGAGAGAGAAGACGAACACCACCGCCTCCATCCTCCTCCTCCTCCTCCAACGCCGCCGCCGCCGCCGCCGCCGCCACTACCACTCCTTCAGTCAAACAGGCTGCAGTGCCCCTACCCGTCCCGCCACTGATAGGTTCTGGTCCCGGCCTGCAGGGCGTGTAGTCCTCCCCGCCCAATGCGCGGTATGCCGGTAGTTGTAGTCCTTTTTTTTTTTTTTTTAAATTCCACGCACATAATCCGGATGCATTCTGGGAAATGTGGTTTGTCAATACGAACCAGGAAAAAAAATAAAATCTGGTGATTATTGTTACCAGAAATTGTTAATTATGGATTATTTTCTAAATGCTTATAATCTGCTGGATACTAAGTAGAATGTGTGATCTTACTGTCTGCCCTCCTCGCTCTGCATCCCTGACCCAATCAGGAGTGGTAAGGGATTTTCACTTCAAAACATAAATCTAACTTCAACACTCTTGGCTTGACGCTTGAGATTTGTTATTTCCTCGTCTCAATTTCTCCAGAGTGCTCAAAAAACTTACTTATTCTCTGTTACAAAAATCTTTCTCTTCTCCTCTGGAGTTTAAGATTGTTGAAAGCTGAACACTTTGCCTTATTCATACATTCATTTAACTAACATTTGATTGACCCCACCCCTACTGCTTGCCAAGAAATGCTCTTGACTCCGAAAATACAAAAACGGACAAGGCAGACAAGATCCGTGCTCTCCTGGAGTAGGTGAAGGACAGGCAAAAAGTAGCAGATAAATACATGCATAAGATCATTTCCAAGGATTATAACAACTAAGAGAGTGTGGTGGTTTGGTAAGATGAGCACTCAACTACAAAACACAAGTTCCACGCACGGTTAGAGCTATCCAGGGAGAAAGATGAGGCTTTCTGTTTCTAAGAAGAATTAAAGCCATGAAAACCCTATCCAGGGTTTGCATGAGTCAGAAATGACTGGACAGCAAGCAATCACAACAACAACTAACAGCTATAAAGAAATTATATCAAAGTCATTCATTCAACCAGTATTTTTCTTTTTTTTGAGAAGCTAGTACACCCACTCCTCACTTACTATCTTGTTATCCGATAGTTAGTACTTAACAACAATAGTAAAAAATGTACTCTCCCACGATGTTGCCCGTTAATGATGTATGCCTGGCATTAAGGAGCACTGATGCAGGAGACGAGAGTAAAGCTGGCTGGGTTTAGTCACATTTATGTCTCAACTTGGCTGGGCTGTGATTCTTAGTTGTTTGTCAGTTACTTATTGTTGTTGTTAGGTGCCATCGAGTCAGTACCGACTCATAGTGACCCTAGGTACAACAGAACAAAACACTGCCCGGTTCTGGGCCAACCTCACAATTATTGCCACGCTTGAGCCCACTGATGCTGCCACTTTGCCAATCCATCTCGCTGGGGGTCTTCCTCTTTTTCTCTGACCCTCCACCTTACCAAACATGATATCCTTCTCCAGCGACTGGTCCCTCCTGACAATATGTCCAAAGTATGAGAGACAAAGTTTGGCCATCCTGGCCTCCAAGGAACACTCTGGCTGCACTTTTTCCAACACAAATCTGTTTGTTCTTTTGGTAGCCTGTGGCACTTTCAATATTCTCCTCCAACACCATAATTCAAAAGCATTAATTCTTCTAATGTCTTCCTTATTCACTGTGCAGCTTTCACATGCATATGAGACTATTGAAAATACCATGGTTTGGATCAGGTGCACCTTAGTCCTCAAGCTGACATCTTTACTCTTCAACACTTTAAAAAGTTCTTGTGCAGCAGATTTGCCTAATGCAATACGTCGTTTTATTTCTTGACTACTGCTTCCATGAGTGTTGAAAAGTTGTTTATACAGCGATGTAATTTGGTAGTTATATAATGATGTAGTTAGTCGCCTTCCATTCTGTGATCTGCTCTGACCATTCTCCATTTTTGCATAACTGTTTTTCTCATAGCAACCTGGTCTTTGGAACCTAGTCATGTCAATACATCAATACATCTTGTCAGTACAGAGGGGCTTATATGCACTCACACTTCTAGATTTTGGGAATACAGAGAGAACAAGAGGGAAACAGCTTCTACATTCCCATAGTTTACATTTGTGTGAGGGCACTATAAAACTGAGGTGCTTAGCATGACTGAAAATGAGGTTTAAATCAAAGCTCCATTTTTCAAATTAAACTTTTGTTGTTGTTGTTAAGTGCCATTGAGTCCTAAATATTCCTTTCTGCCTCCCTAAGAATAGAACCTGGGATGAAGAGACTTAATGGTGTGTAACTTCTTATGGAATGCTAACTACCCTCAGCAAACAGGTTTGTGAAGAAACATTTGTCAAGATGGTCATAGGAGAATATTTGTGCAGCAGTCCCAGAAAGAATGAATATGTAGTATTTCAGAAAATTGTTTTCTAGGTTGACTCCAAGAAGTTGATCTCAGAAAATAAATCAGCTAGACTTGTGGATTTTTAATTTGGTAGTATAGTGGTTATGAGACGGGCTGCTAAACTCAAGGTCAGCAGTTAGAAATTACCAGTCGTTCCGCTAGAGAAAGATGAGGCTTTCTGCTCCCGTAAAGATTTACCGCCTTGGAAATCCTACGCAAGGTCACTATGAGTCGGAACTGATTCCAAGGCACATAACCACCACCACCACCATAAACCATTGGTATACAGTATTCCAGTCCCTATCCATAATTGTGGTCACATACTTCCTTCCCCACTTTTTAATATAAAAACTCACCTCTCCCTCAGAATGTTGAAACCCTTGATAATTTTGTTTTGTAACATGTACTTCCCAGTCCAGACTCTATTTTCACCCTCAATAAAATTATTATCTTTTGCTTCTATTGAGTAAACTATTTTACTCTTTGACACATTACAGTAAGGCAGATAGCCAGCAAATAAACAAATCTATAATATCAAGCAGTTATAAGTACTTTGAAGGATATGGAAGAACATTTTGTAGATTAAGTGATCAGAGAAGGCCATGCTGATGAATTGACATGTAAGATGAAATTTGAGCAATTAGCTGGGTGAAGATTGTAGACAAAATATTCCAGACAGTGATTACAAAGTCTCTACTACACATACAAGCTTGATATGTTTAATAAAACAAAAAAAAAGGTCAATATAACTAAAGCACATGAATAGGGTGAGAAAGCTTTAAGAGAAGGGCAGAGGTCAGTCGGACAAGTTCACATGGGCCTTAAGTCCCCTCATAATTAATTTAATTTTTATTCTAATATGGTGAGAAACCATTGGAGAGTTTTTAAACATGGAAGTGCCTTGATCTGATTTACATTTTAAAAATATCTTTCTAACTTTTTTCTGTATTGAAAGTATAAAAGGAGAAGACATTTATGAGCAAGAAATTTTTATTAGGAGAAAAGAGGATGAATAGGGAAATTAGTATAAAGACAAAACCCACAGTATTTGTGATACAACATAGGTCCATAGGTTCATAAAAGGTTGATAGGTTAAAGCCAGACCTCTTTCAGAGCACAGATCACATTCACTGTCTCTACTTACATACCTAGTCATTCACACCTTCAATTATGAGGAAAGTAACAGACTTTATTAATTTTTATATCTCCAGTTTTACATATCCTGTAAATAAAAAATAAGAATGAAAATAGCATTTCCAAGACTATAAATCTTTTTAGGAGCAGACTGTCTCATGTTTCATCTCTGAAGCAGGTGGTAGGTTTGAACTATTGACCTTGTGGTTAGCAGCCTAATGCCAAACCCACAGCACCACCAGGGATCCATCTTGTGAAGTGTTGTCGTCAAGTTGGTTCCGACTCATAGCAACCCTGTATAGGGTTTCCAAGGAACAGCTAGTGAGCTTGAACTGGCAACCTTGTGGTTCAAACCGACTTTGCAGTCCAGCACATTAACCCACAGCGCCACACCAGGACTCTGTCCTATAAATTTGTTGTTGTTGTGAAGTGCTGTCGAGTCAATTCCGACCCATAGCGACCTCTATAGGGTTTCCAAGGAGCAGCTGATGAACTTGAACCACCAATCTTGTAGTCCAAACGACTTTGCAGTCTGGCGCATTAACACACAGCGCCACATCAGGACCCCATCCTAAAAATAGTTGGTGCTTAATAAATGTTTACTGAGCGACTCATCCTCAATATCAAAAAAATGATTTATAGATCCTATTGAAAGCATTAATCTCATTTTACACACATCTACCCTGATTTGAAAGTGAAAACTCTGCTATTCTATATTCTTTATCTGCTGTTAACCAATGGTAACTATTAGATTACATTTCCAATTAAAATAGATTTTGTCTCTTATTCTGTTTGTGCAGAACACAAAAATTGGAAGAAAGAAATGATCCAGATTAAAAATATTAGGTGAAGGCATATGATGAAGGATTTTAATTTAAAATCTGTATTATATTTTTTAAAAAACACATTAAATTGTTTCCTCACTTTCTGGAGGACCTTCTTCAGTAAGTTCCAGAGAAAAGATGCTGCTGTTACTTGCCATCGCATGACCCCATATGTGCAGAGTAGAATTGCTCCACAGGCCTTTCCAAAGCAGATCCCCAGGACTGTTTTCTGAAGCCTCTCTGAGTGGATTCAAACCACCAACCTTTAAGCTAATAGTCAAGTGCTAAATTATTTGCATCACCCAGGGACCAGAGAAAAGTTGGTAGGATATAACCTACCATGTTTAAGATAAGCTTCATTCTCTCTCTACCTTGATTGATAGTTTCAATTGTTATTGAATTATAAATTGACAGTTATTTTCCAGAGTAATTTTGACAGCACTGCTCCATAGCACTCTAGTTTCTAATACTGCACAACATGAGAAGTTTATGCCATTCTAAAATTCTCAATCCTATACATATGTCCTATCTGTTCTTCCTGAAAGATTTGGAATCTTTTCTTTATCATGGGTTATGTCATGATAACATGTCTTGGGGTGGGTTTTCTTTCCTTCATTGTGCTAAGCACTCAGTGGGCTGTTTTCAATATTGAAATACATGCCTTTCAGTTCTTGTAAATTTTTTAGTGTCATTTCTTTCCTTCTG